CTGAAAACGGCTGTAAAGCATAAATACGAAAACTCGACATGAACAGACATGAGCACACATCATGGCTCTGTCAGAAACAGTTCCATGTTAAGATTATTCCGTTTTGTCATCCACAAAAAAAAATGCTGTGAAGTAAGGTATATAGTCCACTGCCTTTAGTTTTTTCGGTTTGAAACACGTCATGTTAATGTGAGTTTTGAGATCTAACCATAAAGATTGGATTTTATGTGATCACATTATTGCACGCCCACGTTTGGCCTGAAAGTAGCTGTAATTCATCTCCCTGGGCTGTCTTTATTTTATATGTCTGGGTAATCTTAACCCTCACACCCCCCGTCTTCTTAATTTCCCTTTATTACTCAAACTATGGTCTGTGGTTAGATTATATTTAGACCATAAGCAGAACACCATTCACAAAGCAGGCCTGCTCACCTCAAGAGGTTTTGAAAATCTTCAAGGGAAATGTGGGCAGGGCCAAATTTCTGGGAGCCAGTGTCGTCACTTAATACGTTCTGGCATCACTGAGTGATAAAATTTCATGTTTGGTTACAACTGGGACTAAAAGGGACAGTTACAGGACTGTAAAGACATGAGTCAATATCCTGAACACAGATATAAGACATGAGGATGTGGAAGCCTTCTGCTTAGAGCATGAGAAAGGTGGTTTGTTGCCTGAAAACAGAACTTAAGTCCTATTAGTTGTGGTCACTAGTTGCAGTATTTATGGCCTGTCACTCTAAGAGTAAAGATTTGTGTGGTGATATTATTGAAATATTTCGGTGGAAAATATTTCATCTTCATAACGTTCTTTGAAACTCAATACTGAGTAAAAGTTTTGAGCCATCCCTTGTTTCTTTATATTTTTCTAGGAAAATTGGAAATAGGTCTAACAGTTTATGGAAACATATGCCAACACGTATGTTTGCCCATGTACAAAGTTTGTACAGTTTTAATGAGCTTTAAAGTCAACATTTAGTATGACCACCTTCATTCTTTAACTATAGGATTTCTGTAGTAGTCTTCAGGAATAGTTCACTGGGATTCTTAAAGGACATTCAAAGCTCTTCTTTTGATATTGGCTGCCTTTTGTTCTGTTCTCTGTCAAGATGATCCCACCCTGCTTCAATAATGTTAAGGTCCAGGCTCTGGGGAGGCCAGTTCATAACTGATAGTCTTCCATTGTGTGTTTTTCTGCCCAAGTATGCTTTTACTGCACTGGCATTGTGTGTGGGATCATTGTCATACTGGAAAATAAAGCTACTGCCAGTCCGGCACTTTCCAAATGTTAATGCACAGTGAATCCAAATTTGACGATACTCTTCTGCATTCATAATTCCACCAATTTTGACAAGATCTCCAAAACCATTGGCTGAAATTCAGAGCCTCCGCTGTGTTTTATAGAGTGTAGTTCCTTTCTCCTGATCTCCCCGGTACATGTTGATGATGGCTTGTTGACAGTGACCCTTCCACTGAGACCTCAGTGACCAGTAGATGCATCATCTGAAATGGTAAATGGTAAATGGCCTGTATTTATATAACGCTTTTCTAGTCCCTAAGGACCCCAAAGCGCTTTACATATCCAGTCATCCACCCATTCACACACTGGTGATGGCAAGCTACATTGTAGCCACAGCTACCCTGGGGCGCACTGACAGAGGCGAGGCTGCCGGACACTGGCGCCACCGGGCCCTCTGACCACCACCAGTAGGCAACGGGTGAAGTGTCTTGCCCAAGGACACAACGACCGAGACTGTCCAAGCCGGGGCTCGAACCGGCAACCTTCCGATTACAAGGCGAACTCCCAACTCTTGAGCCACGATCGCCCCATCGAGCCACGATCTGAAGGGTCAGATTCATCTGTCAGGTCCTCAGAGATGCATCTGCTGGATTTTTTCTTCTACTGTATCATTACTGTAGTTGTCCATCTGCTGTAGATAATTTTAAGGCCCAACATAAAAAACAAACAAACCAAGAAACACTGATCTGAAAAGGTCAGGTATAAGGACTGAACTGGAAATCAGTGAAAAAGCAAAGAAAATTCTTTAAGTACCTTTATAAAGCCTGGAGAGATATTACCTGGAGAAAATCCAAAAAGTCTGGTCCCTTGGAAACAAAATATCATAAAAGTGGGGGTGGCTTCAGACTATTGAACAGTATTGTATAACTTTGTGGCCTTTTGAACTCCCCTTCATTTACACATACTATATTTATCTAAGTTTCAAATAGCATCTATGTTTTATGGCTTCCACTGTGCTAGGTTTGACAAATTTCTCTAAAAGTTAGTAATAATTGATCAAAAGTATTCTGTAATAGTGTGTAATAGAACAGTCCTGTAAAATTCCATGCTGTAATTACTCAGTATTTCCAATTTAGTGTGACTGTTTTTGAAGAAAGGATCTCTAGTACGAGCACATAATTAGCTGCTGCTATAATAAATCAAGTGTGTGTGTGTGTGTGTGTGTGTGTGTGTGTGTGTGTGTGTGTGTGTGTGTGTGTGTGTGTGCGTGTGTGTGTGTGGACCCTGCAGTCTAACTGTAATGGTTCCTATCACTTCACACCTGCTGTCACTTTGTTACACACAAGGCTAAAGCGTGCAGGTGACCTGAAACACATGTTCACCTCATATCTATCCAGGCCACGTGGAACACACTGGAAAGTTAACACAAAATGTTTAATAGAGACTAATCTTGAACATAAAGCTGCATTAAAAAAATATTTTAATTGACTTAATAGAAAAAAAAAATGCAAATTCACAATCGTGGCTTTACCTGTCCGAGATAATTTAAGACCCAGATTTTCCTCAACATCCTGGAAAAGATATATATATGTAATAAATAGCATTATTATATAGCATTAAAGCAGTGAGGGATGAATAATTTCAGTTTTATGTGCTGCAAACCAGTGTTTTACTCTTATTCAGAATTGTTGCTATGAACTGCTGGTAGTCTGTTTAATGTAAGCTGGCTTAGTCTGACACTCAGCCACACATGCTGACATATTTAGTTACAGATGGCTTCTTTACTGAGCACCATCATTTTCTCAGCACTGCCCCTCTGCTCATTTAGTTACTGTATACAAACTCACGTCAAGGAATTCCTTTGTGAAAAACACTCATTTTAGACGGTGAATTGAGAAATATGTGCCTTGGCAGAAGTTCATTCAAACGTTGGAAAATAGTTTTCACATTCTCTCACTCTTTTTCAATGTTTTCTATACACAACACTACAAACTGTGACAGGTAAAGTGAATGACATCTCTTTATAACGCAATGATCTGCTGAGAAAGCTTAGATCTACTTTAACATGTAACACCTCCCAAACGGCTCAGAAATAGCTAAAGAAACAAGAAGAAGAGCCCAGAGATTGACCCCTACATTTCCATGAAAACCCCAATCCACAACCAAAAAGATGCATTGCCAACATCCTGTGCCAGACACCACAGGACAGCCTTCAGAATTCCCTGGTCCATGCCCTGAGGCTTCAAAGCTGTTTTAGCACCACAAAGGGATCTGCACAATGTTAGGCAGATGGCTTTTAATGATATGACAAACTGCTCTATATACCAGTCGTGTTCTGTCGGGGCAAGGCAGGTGGGCATTGCTTGCCCAGTGAAATCTACAATTAAATATAGACACCATAAGTGTTTGTCATTGCTCTTTTGCATCCACCCTTTAAATTACTGCCATCTTGTGGTAGCAATTTGTCTCATCTTTCCTCCGCTTGCCTCCAATTCCACTAGAATCTGTTGGGCATCTCGATTTTATGGGTGTTCCCCATTAACAGTAGCTTGAATTGAGCGAGATGAGAGATGAGCAGCTTCTTCTGGTTATTTGTACACTCACATTGTGGATAAACATGTTTTCTTTAATGGATGACTGATGGGAGACTAAAATGCAGTATCTTTGCTTGTCTTTTTGTAAAAGTCACCACATGCCACTGATATATATTTTTTCTTCATGTATGTACACCATTTATTATTTAGTAATATTACAGAAATTCCTTTCTCCACAGAGTCTGAGCACAAATACTAACAGTGTTCAGCCACATCTGCACGGACACACAAATAGCAGCTGGATGGTGCAACAGTGGCCCTGTCCAAACTGCACAAAGAGCAGAGGGAGTAACAAAAAAAGGAGCTAGGCATTCAGTATTAATCATTCACTGTGGCGCACACACACTCGCATGCATGCACATACACACATCCTAGAGGTAGCGCCACCCTTTTTCAAATGCACGCAGGCACACAGCCATACAGTAAACAAAGATACCCACCCACCACCTGTTTTTGTGGGCAAACACATGTGTTTGTATATTCTCAAACGTACACACACACACACACACACACACACACACACACACACACACACACACACACACACACACACACACACACACACAGATAGATGTGCTGTCCTATTCATGTGCA